CCCCCCCTTTTATGATTCAGTCACCAAAACATTCAGATGCTTGGCTTCACCTTGAGGGAATACACAATATTTCCCTCCTCAGCAGAAATGGGCATGTCTGATGCTGAAGTGTCAGTCAGTATGGGGATAAAGTCTTCCAGTGTAAATCAGTAACACTATTTTGCTATGTGTTTTACCTTTGAACTAAGCTGCTCCTGCACTGGCAGAAAAGACCCAATGCAAATCGGATCCAGTACTCTGAAGACAACGATTTATTCTTTATAGTCCCTTAGTTAACCAATGGCCTTGTTGCATGTTGTACTTCGAGCTGCACAAATTTTGATCAGCTTAGTGCTAGCTTGGAGTTTGGAGCAGTCACACTTAATCCAAGCACCCTCTCTGACTTTCTATCTGCACAGCTGTGACTTGCCGCTAGAGAAATAGTGAGCAGTGAGGTCCTTTCCAGCCCTACCTCTGTGATTCTCTAGGCTTCTAGGGCTGTGGCTCACTCCTTACCTCTCCTGCTAGGCAAAGAGCTCCAACAGCGCCCTTCTCCATGTACCCAGCACGGCTACTGCAGGGTGGGGGGAGCCTGCTGCCAGGGGAGCCACTGCAGGGACACACAGGGCTTTCATGAGCCTGGTTTGCTCCGTAATGAATCCCCAGTGCTGCCTGCTTCAGCCAGGCATCTCAGCCTCCCAGCCAGGTTGAACGTTCCTGATGCTCATCAAGGCTGCCAGCTGAGAGGGGAAACTTCAGCAAAAATAGCCCCCCGCCCTGTCCCTGATCAGAGCAGGTGCACCGGGCATCGTGGGGTGTGGAGGTGGACTCGAAAAAGGTTGGGAGAGGTTGGGTCAGCAGGTGTGTGTGTGTGTGTGTGTGTGTGTGTGTGTGTGTGTGTGGCTTGGATGAACTCTCATTAGGTCAGTCTCCAGCTAGGAGATGGCTGGATCAGCACTGAGGGAAGAGGAGGAAATAAAGGGTTGGGGAGCATGCTGGGCAGATGTGAGCTTTTATGGGAGCTGGGAATGGTGGCGGTTGTGGGAAGTCTGGCAGGCAAAATGCGAGCACCGCACTCATCTTTCAGCTGGTGTCAAGAGGGACCTGCAGGGATGAAGATGGTAGTGGGGGAAGAGAGAGGGATCAGCCCTGCCACGCAACACCCGTGCAGTGGTGAGCTGATTGGGGAGGAGCGGGGTATCCACAGAATAGGAGGGCGGAGAAGGGCTGTACATCCTGGGTTACTGGAGGACTTCACCTGGGGTGGCACATCTGTGGGGAGTGGCCACACGTTAGTGGAACCGGAGGTGGGTTGTGCGGATCAGAGACAGTCGTGCCCTGGAGCGGCACAACTCTGAGCTGTGTAACGAGTGCTTGAAGCCACTTACACATGTCAGCGTGTGGACAGTCCAGGGGTTAAGAGCTCCAGGAACTGCCTAAAAGTAACGTGTAACAAGACCCTGATAAGGCGCCAACCCTACTTGGCCTTGGGGCACCCAGTGTACATGGATGAACTGTTTTCTTTTCACACCCAGTTAGTGCAAAATGGAGCATTAGTTTACTTGGGTGTTAGAAAGAAGCCGTGCCTTTAAAGGGGAAAGCAGCAATCCCAAGGTATTTTCCATGAGGCATGACTAACCTTTCCTTAGGGCTGGTTTGTTCTCTAGCTAACTATACTTCCAATTTCCACTTGGTTTTCAGCTGGGAAGGATTTAATAGTTCAACACTTTCTAATAGGAAAACTAGAAGCTGGACTTTGGGTTAAAAAAATAAATCTGTTCCTGCTAGGAAATCCACTTGTTGCTGAGAAATACCTCAAGTACTAGAGTAGAGGGGGACAAACGAATTCGAAAGGAGTTTTTGAAAACACTCTTGCTGTGACTCATGCCATACTATTTTCCCTGCTCCCTTTTCAGAGTAGAACTATGCTTCAACCAGCTGGTACACATCATCCCAGGAGTTGCCGATGTGGGCACCTGGCACTGTTATATTTATATATGTATGGCATATATATATGCCAGCCACGGCAGACTTGGCCCAGAGACGTAGTATTCTTCTGCACTGTGCCCTTCCTCTCCCTAGTCTCTACATTGGAAGTGCAGTGGCTTTGTTGCTTAGTGAAAACCTTCAGTTAACGCATAGCTGACTCTTGGATCTTAGCAGCAAATACCAAGAGGCTGGTCTGTGCCCAGAGCTGCATAGGTTTACTGAAAAAATGTGATGCTGCTTCGGCTTGCTTTAAAACGATGCAGCTCCTGTCTGTAGACAGGTACCGCTTTCCATCCCTGCTGTACAGGGCTCATATTGAACAGCGACTCGGTCAGTCGGAGTTTGTATGCGTGCCGGATGTATTAACTCAGGAAGGAAGAACTGACTAAAATGGTGAAGTCCTTTTGCTTGGTCTTGCTTGTCCAAGGCAGGCCATTCCCAGCTTGACTTGACAGGAGCTTGGGCTGGCAGGTCAACAGTACATTAGCTTTTAACATTATGCTTCTCCCAGGGGTCATAGATAAGGTTAGTAATGGGAAAATAAGGTGCAGCATAATATCATTTTGATCCATTGCGTTATACTTGGGTGGAGAGAGAGGTTTCGAAGACCCAGGTCAAGTCCTAATCCTACCCCCATTGGAATCTGTTGGGCTGGTGGAGGTTAGGATATCACGACACCTCTCCTCTCCTCCCTGCCCACTTCAAACATTGCCTCACTCAGCAATGGTAGGAGACAGATTTTTGTCACTCCTCGTGCTGCAGCTACTTCAAAAGGATTTCCCTGCCATCAGGAAGGAAAGTACAAGTCTGTCTATAGTTGCAAGGAAAAGAAGGACGTAGATATAATGCATGTAATGAATACTTAAGGGTGAACTTCCTTTTGAAAAGGTTTGTGTGCATCTACTACACTCCGACAGGAAAACGACCCTCCAAATTACACGTGGGGGACCTAGGCTTCACCTTGTGGGTGGCCACAGCCCTTCTTTAGCATGTTGTCTTGACACCCCTGCCTCTGGAGTATGGTGCCTGTCTCTCTCAGAGGTGGGGTGTGGGAGGAGGGTTTCACGAGTTCATAATTATTCATCCGCGTCAGAAATGTGTGCCTTTATTAGTGGTACATGCCAACTGGCACCAAAGTATTAATGTGATCTGTTCAGATCCGTTAACTGTTTTGAAATGGAGGGTGAACTGGTTGGTTGCTCTTTCCATGAGGCTTGAAAATGTTTGAAAATTGTATTGTGCCAAGATGTGTCACCATAAAGTCATGGACTGTGAGACTTATTTGAAGGCGGTGATATAACAGGAGGAAGCATGGAAAAATATAACGTAAACCAGTGGAAATGAAGCTGTATCCAGGGCTAGGCACTGGATTTAATTGATGTCTGTCCTGTAGTGTCTCGAATAAATTGCTTAGGTCAGTGGTTCCCAACCTTTTTAGCCTCCAGGCCCCTTCATTAACTTCTGAATTTCACAGCACCCTAGTTTAGAAGCATTGAGCTACAGTCTGAATTCAGAAGGGTTATGGAGGGGTTCTTGAGGCTAAAAAAGGTTGAGAGCCACTAATCTAGCCAGTGCTAGATGGGGGCAGACTCCTGCCACTGTCTGCCCCTCTCCCTGACACGGATCTGTACCTGAGGGGCATCCTCCCTTCACCAAGGGCTGGCAGGGAGGGCAGTAGCTGCAGCAGTCGCTGGAAGAGCAGCCACAAGTGCTGCTGGGATGGGTGCAAGGCATCAGGTGGGGAGAAGAGATCGTTCACCTCCTCACACAGGGGTTGGGTGCCACAGCACCCTTAAAAGGATTTTGCAGCACCCTGGTTGAGAGTTGTGGGCTTAACTTCTTGCTCAGTTTCCTTATCAAAGCATGCAACAGGTTCCCAGCTCGTGGAACTGCTGAGGGATAACTCCTTAACATTTGCAAAGTACTTTGAATGAGGTTTACTTTGTAATCCCTTCTGTACCTGTAATGTTGGGAATGCCTTATCAAACTCGTACATGTTTTCTTCTTCAGCACCGTTAAAACAGGCCAGCGTTCCCTTGCCGTTCAGTCTTGGTACCTGACAGCAACCATCAGCCTAGTTCCACTGCTGGGCCACGTATCAAGAGCAACTTGCTGGTCTGTGGGTCTGAGATTTCTCGCTGCAGCGTGAACCTCTGTTCTGATTTGCAGATCTCACCAATATATTTGAATCGTTCCTGCCCCAGTTGCTGGCCTATCCTAACCCTATAGATCCTCTAAATGGTGACGCCGCAGCCATGTATCTTCACCGACCAGAAGAGTACAAACAGAAAATTAAAGGTAAGGAGCAAACAGGATGCTGAAAAGTTGATCCTGTCACTACGATTCCAACTCTGCTTGGATGAAAATTTGTCCTTTAAACTCTCTAGTTGTAACCTGCTCTTGCTCTATAATAAGCCAATTTAATTTTAGCCTGGGGGAGTCCTCTGGGAGGAATGGATGGAATTGACATTGCTTGCAAATGAAAGCTGGGCTGCTGCGGACCCCACCGGGAACAGTTCTGCTCCGTCGGACTGCTGGGCAGAACGTCTTAGCAAACTCCCAAAAGTTAAGAGATCACTGGGCTCACACATGGAGTATTCCCATCTGGCACCTTAAATTCTTAACCTACCTTTTCTCTGAGGTAACTTCCAAGTGTAGCCATGCCCAACGGGGTTGCTGTTTCCAAAAAATCCCAAACTTTAAAGCAGACTCTGCACTGTGGAAAGTCAGGGAGGCTTTGTGGATAAAGCACTAGACTCTCTAGCAGGCTTTGTGAACTTGGTTGCAGCTTAACTGTGTCAGCTGCCCTTCCCTGAAAAATGGGCCGAATACTTTTCGAGTAGGGTCTGGTGAAGTTTAATTTATGTTCATCAGTTCCACCAACATCTCAGCTTGCGGGTGCTAGGAAAAGCCAGCTAGTAAGTCCTATGTACCTTGCATCCATTCTGACCCCTTCCTCACAAGTTCTTAAACCTGTTATGTGCTGATGCTAGAGCAATGAGTACAAATAATCAATCAAGGAATCAAACCACATCCAAGAGCTTGACCCTTCTTAAAAGTAACTCGGTACAAATAGGGGAAGTGCCTTATTGAGCAGACCCCGCATCTGTTGAGTTCAGTATTCTGCCACCAGCATTGGCGGAGAAAGGTTGAAGAGCCCTGCTGAAAGAAAGCAGATATGGAAAAACCCGGCCTCACAGATGCTTCATTATATATCTCAAATCTGATGCTGTAAACTGTGAAGAACAAGGTCCAGAATATCTTCCAGTATGTGCTGGTGGCCATTTCACCATTCTTTACAAGAATCCCATCTCCACTTGGACTACCCAGTATCTATTAGTTTGCTATGACTGACATAAGATACAGCTAAGTGTTGCCATGCTTCATGCTGATAGGATTTGAAAATAGCCTTAGATATGTCAGAATTGATGCAGTGGATTGTAACATCTGCTCTAGCTGAGGGAAATAAATTATGTAGTTACAGTTCTTAATTCCCTCTTTCCTTTCCATCCTCATTTTTTAGTTATGAAAGCAGAAAGTATCTGCTTGATGTCATGCTCGAGGAGAAGTAGGATCAGGTCTGCGAGTGGAAATGGCATACGGTTTTGAAGTGACAGATCCTTACAAAAAGCCCCTGTCCTTGCAGGATGTTAATGGAGCCCTTGTCCCCTTGCTTTTATAGAGTGTTTTGGATGTATTGGGCATCCTACGTGGCACTTGTTTTTTGAGCATTTATTCCTGAAGTGTCTAAGCAGCATAGACAAGCCCTTGTCTAGGATGATTTAGCCAGGAATGATCCTGCCGTGAGCCAGGGGGTGGAGTAGATGTGACCTCCTGAGGTCCCCCCAGCCCCACTATTCTGTGATTCTAGGATTTATGGTAAGACCCATAGTTAACTATTGCTGCTGCTTTTTGTATTGAGGTGGGAAGCTGATATCGTTAGCACTTCAGTCCTCATGGCACAAACTCTGGTCACAGAGGCAAGGGAATGTTTTTGCAATTCCATCCTTCCTTGACTGCCTAGGGCAGATCCCATGCGTCTGTCACTGGGGCCTTGTCCATGCCGTAAGCTAACTGGAGCGGCCACCCAGCTGTCACTGGGCTGCTCCCAGCAGGCTGCCTCTTCAACCAGAAGCTGTCTCGCCACCTCCATGCACCACTTCAGATGGGCTAATTGGTACCAGTTAGCCTGCCCCCAAGCTAATTAGGCTGCTCGTGTCACTATGAGGATGCGGCTACATTGCTTCCATGTTAGAAAGCAACTTGCCCCACGTAGCATGGCATGAATGAGAGCACTGCTGGCTGGGGTGCTAAATTGTCTGGATAGACATAGCTTAAGATAGGAAACTGGGGAGATTTTTCAAAGATGCAAGGAGCAATTAAGGACTCAAATGCTACAAAAGGATCCACTGCAGAAAGGATGTGGACAAGTTGGAGAGAGTCAGCAGAAGGCAATGAAAATGGTTGGGAACTGGGGCAAATGACTGGGGAGGAGAGGCTGAGGTAACTGGGATGATTTAGTCCAGAAAAAAAGAAGACCAAGGGGGGATTTAATAGCAACTTTCAACTCCCTGCAGGGGGTTGCAAAGAGGTTGGAGCTGGACTGTGCTCAGTGGGGGCAGATGACAGGACAAGGAGCAATGGGCTCACGTTGCAGTGAGGGAAGTTGAGGTTGGATATTATGAAAAACTCTCACTAAGAGGGTAGTAAAGCCCTGGAACAGGCTCCCCAGAGAGGTGGCGGACTCTCCATTCTTGGAGGTTTTTAAGGCCCAGGTAGACAAAGCCTTGGCTGGGATGATCTAGCTGGGGCTGGTCCTGCTTGGAGCAGGGGTTGGACTAGATGTGACCTCCTGAGGTCCCTGCCAACCCTAATTCTCTATGATCCTATGGCAGTGCTTCTCAACCAGGGGGGCCACGGCATCCTGGGGTGCCTTGAGATTCTTTTAAGGGTATCTGGGCAGTATAAGGCAGTGTTAGCACCATTAGGTGTGCAGATGCGATTCACAAGGTTTTAAATAGAAATCCAGTATTTAAAAAAAACAAACTTTCTGACCACTTGTGTTCCTTGCCGCAGAAGAACTGCTCTGTCATTTTCCACGGTCAAAAAATGAATGAAAGCTCAGAGCTTGTATTTTCTGAGGAGTCCTTCAAGTCTAAAAAGTTTGAGAACCACTGTACTCTCGCCCTTTAATTCCCGTTTGCACCTTTTGAACAAAAATTCTTACAAAAAAAGCAAAAGAATCAGGGCTGAGACACAATTTGGGCAGGTTTTTTGTAAATGGGTGAAGTACCCCACAGCTGCAAATGGGGTGCAGACAGAGCTTTCCATACGCCTTCAGGAGCTGAAGTGTCCAAAGCAAGGCTGGTTCTCCCTTGGTGCAAAACCTTCATTTCTAGTCTGCCTTATGACGCATTGCAGCCTCCTTCCTGGGAGGACAGTGTGACACTTTGCATCCATAGAACCAGCACAACGGGCATTTCAGGTGTCACCTTTCCTTTAACGGGCTGAAAAAGTAAAAAGTAGATCCTCCAGTACAGCACAAGTTTAATCCAAGAAAGGCTTATTGTTTAGGCACGGATGTTCCCAGGAAGTCTCTAATTTCCTGAGAAGAAAACTAGAAAAAGTCCAGCCCAATGGCTTGGCAGCCATGCCAGGTTTTTTCCCCCCACCTGTGTGGTTTAGGGAGTAAGAGCCAAGATTTGTGTTTAAACGCAACCCTTAGTATTTCATCGTGGCTCATTTGAACCCAAATATGTCCCTTTTCAGCCGAACAAAGTGGTGGCTTTCGATTCATGGCTCTTAGACCACAAGTGAGCCATGAAGAAATGGGTCTTTGCATGATGCTAGCTCCTGTCCTTGTCTTTTCCAATGAGTGGCATTCAGCCAGTACTATATTTAATACTTTCCAGTCCTGCTCGGGGTGGATTTGATTTTTAAATCACGATTTAAATTACTGGCAGCCAGGAAGCCTCAATTTAATCCTTGTTTTCTACAAAAAGTGCGTTCTTGTTTGATATCCTTTATTCATGTAACTTCTTGAAACTGCACTTTTAGAGAAAGGTAAGGGCTTGACTCTGTACACAAACTTGCAGAGACACAATAGGGCTGATGGATGGGTAATCAGGTTTATCTCATCCCCGTATACCGCTGTTAACAAGGAGGTTTTATCTCTGGAGACACCTGAAACTAAGCATCACGAAGATGCTTAATGGGATCTTTAGACTGAGTCCCGCTGGGTAGAGTGGTTTTCTTTAATCTTTACTAATCTATAGAGGAGCCTCTGGGAACCCCATAAGATTGGGCCCCTAATATAGTCCCTGGCCTGTTGTGACCTATTTATACAACATTTCTAAAAAGATTACATGAATATATTGTCTCAGATAGTATAGAATTAGAAGTTATAATCCCTATTCCATGATGCTATCTTTGAGCTTTAATATATTTTAAATTCAAACCATCTTTATATAGGCTTTTTAATTTTTTTTTAAAAAAGCATCTTAACAAAAAAATATGATTAAATAAAAATCTTGATTGATTGATTGATTTTTAAATCACTGGTTCTTTTTTTTTTTTAATTTTTTTATCTACCCTGGCCCTGCTCCACTTGAGACTGCTACAGTAATTGTTTGTGGGTTGTAGACTACTGGCAGATAGGCACAAATGGGTTCACAGAACTAACATGAAAGAGGATTTCTAGGGCACGATCATTTTGGAGTTTCTAGACTTGGACAAGGCTGCAATCCCTTTGCTAGTGGCTGCCAGAGAGATTTAATTGGTGATCTCCATTTTTAGTGGGAGCTCAGCTTCTAAGCAAGGCAGACAATCAAGGATAACCACACACAGTTGTTCCTGTCTTGACTCGCATGTGGCTGTAATCCGTCTGCCCCGACCATCTATTTCTTCTGCTCCTCTCCCTGCTCACTGGCAGAAATCCTTGAGCGGGCTGCTTTCTTTCACTATAGCTGCATTTTCTCATCCTGCAGCTCTACTGTCATTAGCTGAACAACTCTCCCTTTTACTTTTCCAGCTTCATTGAAGCTCTCTCAGCCCCAGCTGCTGCTTCCCCACCTGTTTCACTGCTCACACCCTCCCTTCCTTTCTCCCGCTGCAGCTACTCGGCGTGCAGCATCACCAGCCGTGTCCAAGAGCAAACACGACTTGTCTCTCTTGAGTGCTGCCCATTGGTGCTTTCCTCTGAGCACACAGATCGTGTTTACCGTCTGTCTGGAGTCCTCTTCCACCCCAGACCCTCTCCTATCCAGGATCTGCCCGTTAGGCTCCACTAACGCTGCCCTTGTTAAAATCTGTAATGCCCTTGCCAAAGCTCGGCGCAGCACCCGCGCTCCTCCTCGACCTGTCAGCTGCCCTCAGCCATGCTTTATGACAGCCTTGTCTGCCCTCAGCTTCCATGAAACATGCTTCTCCCCATGCTCATGATGAGGTCCTTATACATCTCTGCAAACCACTTCAGTATTCGCTTCCAAATCCCTCCTTCACCTTTTTTGCTGCAGTGCCCACTGAAGCCCGACTGGCCATTAGATGCCATGCTGACGTGCCTCACTTGTTTCCTTGTCTCTGGTTTGTACCCATCGGTTGCCTTATGCAGTATGGACATGGGCTGTTGATTATGGCATGCAAAGGGGTAGAGCTTTACCCCGTGTCATGTACTCCGCAATAACTGCCCATGTGCACACTCTTACCCCAGGGTAATGGCAAACTAACCCACGGTAGCTTTAGCCCTTTTATGTTGCAAACTAACCTACCAGGGCTTTGCTTCCACTTCCTGCAGGGCAAAAGCATGGATTTGGGTAGTTGCTATAAAGCAGTTGATGGGAAGTAAATACCCTGCCTCCGTTTATTGATTGATTTGAGGCAAGCTGCTTGTATGTCCAGGTAGTTAGGCTCTTTGGGAGGAGATGGTCTACAATCTGTTCTGTCTTGTTTAGTACCCAACACAGCGGCAGCCTTGCCCACAGAGAGGGCCCCTAGCTGGTCTGGAAACACAGCGGAAAGCTGCCTTTTTGGAACAGATGGCTCTGTTCCCCAACCAGATTCAGTGACCTAGGCCCTTCCTTAGATGAATCCCCGCTTGGAAAGTGCATCACAAATAAAATGTAGGGGGCCTGATGGTCTGAATCTCTTCACATTGGGTGCAGAGGCCTTGAAAGCCTTCCACAGCTGCTAGTGTTACAGAGCAGGCTGTAATGCTTTATTTAGCAGCTCTCCTGAAGCCGACTGCAGCAGTCCTCCTCCCAGCCACAGCGGAGCAAGCGGGTGAATAATGCATATTAAGCTATACAAGGGAAGCCAATTGTGTTGTCAGACACTGGCTTAGGCTTTCATGGGAGTTGTCAACTGGCTGGAAGGGGATGCTGAAGTGCTTTTAAAGGCTGAGGGTCCGTGCTGTTCAGCAGTATAAGTGCATCCAGTGGCCTAATTCGGACCTCTGTTCCATAAACCGTGGCTGCTTGCAGCCCTATATCCTTACCCACTCCCAGATAGCTATAAATGAGCTGTGACAGCGCGGAGTGGACTACATGCAGCTCAGCGCTGGCTCTACTAGTTTGAAGGCAGGGGAGGAGAATTGGGCATCGGTGGTTTTAAGCTCTGCCTCAACCTTGGCCATTTCAGTGGAAGGGGCAATGTTGTTGGCACCACCTAAAGAGCTTGCTTTGTTCTCCCTCTTAGTACCGGGCATTAAATGCGATGCCCTGTAACTTTGTATGCACGCCTGTCTCCTGATTTGCCACGTAACCAGGAGTTGCCAGTCAAAAAGCAGCGGTCTGGGCTCTTGAAAGGGGAGAGGGGTTATCCAGGGCTTGTCCTGCCTGCCTCCTTCCTCCCCTGCGAGTAGAAATTTAAATAAACTCACAGCATTTTAAGCTCTTTTAGGCTGGCACTTCCTGGCTGGAGTCAGAAGACATTCACACCTCCTAACTGGGGCTTTGTGTTTTAAGTGTAAAGGTGAGGCTGTTACTTCCTTCCTCTGGTTCTTCCCAGCACCTTGTCTTGCCTCCTAGGGTATCCTTCTCTCTTCAAAGCTGCCTAAAGAGTAGCTGAAATCCTTTCACTCCAGAGCACTCTTTTGCTGCTGTGCCTCAACCCTAGCTTGGGAGGGATCAGACCTGGATCGCCGAGTCTTCCTACCCTGGTCACCTGGAGGATGTGGTGCATCTGCCCTCTCAGCCCCAGGTAGAGGAAGGGACAGCCAGCTGGCTTGAAGGTCATTCCCAGCCCAAAACACGAGGCTCCCAGGCTGGAGGGATTGCCTTGAACTTTTGAATGCTGGCCTGCAGGCACATATTTGAAGTCCTCGCCATTCTCTACAGTGCCTGCAAAATTAGGGACTGCCCTTTTTCCTGGGCTCTTGGGTGGGAAAACATCAAAAGGCTCTTGTCATCTGCACTTGTGGTAAGGTGACTAACTCAGCTCCACACCTCCTTCAGAGGCTGGATTATTGCAGTGTGGTCTGCATGGAAATAGCCCGAGCCACGGCTGGCACAGAAGGAGTGTGCATGCCTGCAGGAATCCAGTCCGACCAGTTTTCTGTTGCTGATTGCTATTCCAGGGGCCGTTCTAGGTACCCATTAATAGTTTCAGGGTTGTTATTGTAGCCATGTTGTTCTCAGGACAGAGGCAGACACAGTTCTTTGGATAAATGTGATCTCTTTTATTAGACCAACTAAATAGTTGGAAAAATGGTTCTTTGCAAGTTTTTGGGCACCCTCTTCAAACATAGGGAGACTCTGGTGGCCTCCCTGTGCCTGAAGAAGGGCGTTTGTGCCTGAAAGCTTGCAAAGAACCATTTTTCCAACTATTTGGGTAGATGTGAAATATATTTTATTAGACCAATTAAAGAACCTTGCCTGCCCATTAATAGTGTGGGTCTTGTCACTTCCTTCTGGGAGCCAGGAACCACTACAGCAGCTCAGCTTGTGTCTGTTCATGACTCTCAGGTGTTAAATGTCTGGAGGTCGGGGGCTGCGGGTTCCCCGCGGAGAGCCTTCTGCAGTTCTTCCTTACTAGTCAGTCCACCGTTGTCTGATAGCAAAGCACACAGTGCCAGGGGTTTGTCTCAAGGGATCAAGGGGAAGCATTTTAAGGAGCGGTTCTCTTGCTTTTGGTTGGAACCAATGGCATTTGGTCCATTGCTATTTTTCCTGCCCCCCCTCACCTTTTCATCCTTCTTTCCTTCTCTAGAAGCTGTGCCAGTACCATCAGCTTCTCTAATCCCATAATTTAGGGATCTTCATCTTCAGAGAAGAGTATTCGGGGTTCTCCCTTCACGTTGTAGGCCGCATGTTTGGCACTGCATCCCGTTCCCAGCACCTGGGCGTCCCTGTAGGAACGAGAGCAGTGATTCTCCACCCAGGTGCCACGGCTTCAAAAACGAAATCCAGAGTCAGGGTCTTTCTGAGTTCTTTGAACAGAAAAACTGCTGTATTTTTTTTTTCTGTAGGTCAAAAAAAGAGGCATCCTGCCCTCTTTCTCCTTTTCCAGGAAACCCATGATTGCGTCAGCCACGACACTGTCTGCACTGCTTCTCCTCTCCTACCTCTTTCCTGCCACAAACTGCAGTTCTTATCTCCAGTTTCGTGACTGACTGATTTATTTTTTTGCTGACTTCTCAGTGGTTTTTCTCCTGGTGATCATTGTGTTGATTCCTAATTTAGTTACTATTCCTGTGATAAATGGGCTCTTCATAGAAGAGGCTTTTTACGTGAGCATGTGTACGTGGCTGGGAAACGAACTGCCTGGTCTCTCCAGCTCCAAGTCCGGGACTCTGTAATGCAGCCGTTTGAGATTGTGGGCGTCCTATCCGCACACGTGCCTCGGGTTTTTTATCCATTGTCAAAAATTTCGTGCGTCCCTTTGAAGTCTTCACTGCTGGCTACTGTCAGATGGAGTGCCAGACTGGATTGACAATTGATCCGAGGCGGCATGGCAGGACCTATGTTAACTTTTGTAATCCATGTGTCTCGTGCCTATGCCACTACCCCAACTGGCTGGTAAATTAATTCGACAGCCAGCCACGCTTTAGATATTCAATATATGCTGATTATATCCTCTTTCCCTCCTCTCCCCATATACAGAATACATTCAGAAATATGCAACAGAAGAAGCACTAAAAGAACAGGAAGAAGCCACCGGGGACAGCTCGTCAGAGAGCTCCATGTCTGACTTCTCGGAAGACGAAGCGCAGGATATGGAGTTGTAGTAGAAGAAGCGACCTGCTTTTCAGAGAGACTATTATTTCCTAACCATGAGAAGCAGACTATAATATTCATATTTAAACAAAGCAATTTTTTTTATTACTAAACAAGGTTTTTATGAATAATAGCATTGATATATATATATATATCACCCTTTAGATCTTGATTTCTTGGTCATTTCTCAAACCCAAGGTGCATAGCATATTCCCACATTCCATTTTGGTAGCAATATGCAGCCCGAATGCATGCATTCATAATTCCATTTGGCCAAGTCCACTTGTGTGCTACTGAACTGTCAACTAAAAACAGCTGCTCTGGTAGGTAGGGAGTTAGTAAAGATTTTTTTGTTGTTGTTGTTTTTTGTTTTTTGTTTTTTTTTTTCCCTCCTTTTTATCAGTGTTTCCAAAGACACCACCTTGGATGCTGATGCAGCACAGCGCTTTCTCAAAGTAAGAACCTGGGGGATAATGTCAGGATGTGGAGATAAGATGGTGAAATAAAAGGTGCTCCTTCAGGCAACATGGCTGATCATATTTTTATGTGGAGTCATGTTTAAAAAAGATGCACGAGCTAATCAGAGCATTGAAACCTAAACACTTTTTTTTTACTTGGATTTTAAGTATGTTTTTATATGTGGACTCCTGCCCTCTGAAGTATAGGGACTTACAACCACTGGTCTGTTTGGTTTTTGGGGGGGTTTTTTGGACTTTTGAAAGCCTTCATCTGGACATCTATTCACTTTCTTGGTCTGGATTATGAGATGTTCCCTTTTTGGGGGACCCCCCCCACACAATGCTGTGTGAACAGTGCTTTAATATACGTGGAGCACACACCAAGTCAAACCCTTGCTTTGTCATAGTTTGGAAACAGCTGCCATTTAATGGCTTCAAGCTTGCTGGGGGTTCTTTTCACCAACTTGAAGTATGGTTAAAGACCTCACAAAAAAGTTTCTTTTCGCCAGCTTGAAGTATGGTTAAAGACCTCACAAAAAAAAAAAAAATCTCCATCTCCTGAAAGGGTTTTCTGACCAGATGGATTAGCCTTGCCGAGAGCTTCAGATCCATGAAGATTGGTCCACGAATCCATTGGCACTCACGTTCTTGGTTTCCCTTTTTTCCCCCTTCTGCAGCAGCTTGGTAGCCATCTGCTTGTGCGTGTACAACAGACCAAACTCTCCAGAGTTGAACAAAGGAAAATGATCTAGGAAAATTTTTAATTTAATGTTGTTTTTTTTTTTTATTTAAAAATGACAATTTGGGGGAAACATGCAAATCTTTTTTTTTCCCCCTCCCCAAAGACTTTTCTGGATGAAGATTTTTTTTTTTTTCTGATATATTTCAACATGCTAAAATTTTGTTTTTTGGGGGTTTTTTTGTTTGTTCATTTTTAGTTTTAATGCTAAGAAAACATGAATACAGTAACTTGCCTACGTGGGGTGCCAGTATACTTGAATTTGGAAAATGGCGCATTTGAAATGCCAACTAAGATGGATTTTAAAACCGGGATGTGACCTGCTGTATTTGCATAGGGTTTTCTGAGGGGTTTGGACAACCGGTTACTTTAACTTTTGGTACAACCTGCAGGACTGCATGGAATTCAACTCATCCTGAGAGACCATCGAACTGAATTTGCATGTCAGACTGGACTCAGTAAAAAAAACCAAAAAAAAGAAGAAAAAAAAAAAAAAAGAAGAAAAAAAAATCGTTTTCCATTTCATCACAAGTGTTTTTGCCCTTTTAGAAATGCCCCTGAGTTGCGTCAATGAGGTTGGAAGATACAATCCAATTTTTTTTTTTTAATTCATAAAGCACAATCAATTTTTTTTGGAAAACTATAAAGTACATCTTTGCTTTAGCATGATTATTTTCCTTAATAAAAAAAAAAAATAACCTACAAAGATTTTACTTATTTTATGTTAATTACGGGCATGAAGCAAAAGGGGTTGTTTTTTATTTCCCTCTGCTTTTTTTTTTTTTTTTTTCTTTAAATAAAAAAAAAAAAGCAGTAATGTAGGGCTGTGGTTAGTTACTGTGCTGAAGTTCTCTATCTAGCATTTGTGGCTTGTTGGAAGGGGGTAGTATTAAACTATTTAACATGTAATGGTGTACTTTAACTCTTATCTAGCACGCTGTTTTCTCATTTCTTTGGGGAGGGAGGGGCAGAGTTTTTTTTTTGCTGGCACTGTTTAACTTGCTTACCTGCTGGACGAGCAGTTTGCTTGAGCTATAACTTAAACTGTAGGTGCTATTTAGGGGTAGACAAAAGTGCTGGGTGGTGATATCAGTTTTAAAAAACAACAAAAACAAAAAAAAAACAACAAAACAATAAAAATTTGTATTTTTTCAATATTGTATAAACATAGTGTTCTAATTCCCTCCATTTTTTTTCCAGGTAACTATGTCCCTCCCTCTCCCCAACCCCCGGCTCTATTGGCTAGCTGGGTTTTTCACGTAGAGCACTTGCGCGCACTCCCTCCTTTCAAGAAGCCCGTTTTTCCACTAGAAGCAGGTGTCCAGTCCTAAGCATCCAAAGGAATTGCAGTGAGAGCTGCCGCTGTCTAAGGCAGGCTCCCGGGAGAGCAGGCACACGCCTTACCGCCCTGGTCTCCCTGTTGGAAGGTGCACGGCGGTTCTCTTGTCCAAGCCGCTCCAGTTCCCCTGTACCTCCTTTTATACACGCAGACACTTGTGGGTCTAGATCTGGAACTGTGTTCTTCAACTGCAACGCTTTTCCTCGGACGTTTAATTGAGGAGAACGGTGGAGTTTGTAGCCTTGCCTGCCAGATGTTGAAGGTTCACCTCTTTCGTGCTGGATCCCTTCCCCCTTGCGGTGACGGCAGTAGGGAAGGAAGCCTGCAGTAAGCTATCGTTTGCAAGGATCCAGCCTCGAGCGAAATGCCGATTCGAGGATAAACTCAAATGGATTTGACTTATTTTTTCCCCAGATGGGAACAGCTGCTTGTAGCCTCATTCCACCCGTCTCCTGTGAGCACCGTTCTTTTGATCTCCTTCCCCTTCTTCAAGCCAGAACAGCCTGTAAATACAACTACTCCCACCTAGTCTTCAAGGGAAACATGGAACTGCTTTGAAACGAGATGCCCTTCTTTTTTTCTTTTTTTTTTTTTCCTTTTTAAGTTTGGTTCCTTTAGAAATGCTAGCAGACGTCTCCAAGCACCACTGCCGATTTCTGCGCCCCCACCCCTGTTCTGATCTCTCGACTTCAAAGCGTCAGCTGGACGGGAGTCGCCAGGCCTGCTCCAGCATAGCCATGTTCGATACGTATCCTCATAGTCCGGATGAACCTCCAAGTATGGAAGTTTCTGAGTCACCTGCTGCAACCATTTGGGGATCTGGCTCCTTTGGCTTTAGATCCAGTAGCTTACCACCTTGGTGTATCTTCTCTTCTGTACAAAATATCAAAGCTGCCATTGATCAACAGATCTCGCGCTCCCGCCTTGAGAAGGTCCATACATTTGCCAACAAGGCTCATCTTTAAACCTTCATCAGAAATGGGTTTTAGCTCATCTGGAGGCTTCTGAGTATTGTACTTTTATTTTTTCACTAGACCTTCCATTGTGACAACTCTACACTGTGGGAGGAGGGGACCCGGAGGAGGGCATATTGGAGGAAGTGAATCTTTTACGGAGTGAATCCTGGATGCAGATCGGGAGCGTTTCCCCAGCTCTGCTTTGTCTTATCTGGTAACGCGCGCTCGCGATCAGGAAAGCAGCGAGTCGCATGCGACTCCTTGTACTTCAGACGTCCCAGTTGGCCAAGTAGGTTGAAGGGAACGGAAGCAACTGTGCAGTTCATGTGCCACCTCGCACGACCCACCCTCACCCCACACGCAAGGCGGAGAGAACGGAGCTCCCTGCTCGGCCTTTCTCTCCCTCCCTCCTTCCCTGGCATGGATGAGAAATGCTGGAAGCTGTGCTGCACTTGGCTTGCCCTGGCTTCTGCTTTGCAGGTAGATGCATCGCAGCATTTTGATGTGTCAGTGCTAGCTCTGATCAGCAAAGACCCCACCACGTTGCCAGAGCTGTTTCACATCGCGCAGGGGCACTGGGGTTGGGGGGTTGCTAGTTTCTTATTTTCCCCCTTTTTATATATCCATCTATTTTTTTTTTTTTTTTTTGCTTCCTTTTTGCCCATCTTGAGTTCTGCTGGCACTTTAGCAGGCGTGCGTGTGGCATGAGAAATGGCCATTATTTTACTGACTGTATTTGGTACATATTGTGTGATACTTGAAGAGATCCAGGGTGTTGAGCCCTCCATTTGGAGTCTAAGCTTTTTGGGTTCGTTCTTTTTTTTTTCTTTTTCTTTTTTTTCCAGCCCCCTCCTCCCCTTTTTCTTGCATTGTGATGATGTAGTGGGCATGCCTGTCACCATGACAAATGCCTCTTCTATAACTTTTCTCAAATAGTTGTGTATAATTAAAGAACTGTAAACTTTTTTTAAATAAAATATGTATATACCTTGCTCTGCTTGCCTTGCTGCTTGCTGGGGGCAAAGTGTCACTCCTTTGGGGAGCGTCTACAGCCCAGGGACACTGCCGCCAATCCTCCACCGCCCAGCGAAGCTCTGTAGTGCATCACTCCTCTCACCCTGCATGAAATCCTGGTGCTTGTTTGACAAGCTGCAGCCTATTCATTTGGGCTAATTCTCGAAGAGGTGCTCGGTTTACGGCTCCTGTTCCTATCTTCGGCGCTCCCGAGATGCAGGGAGTGGTTGGAAGACGAGACACTGCTGTCCATTCACCACCAGTTTAGCAAGGTTGTTTTTCTCCTATAAGGTGACTTAGCGAGAGCACATCCAATCTCTCCTATGGCGTTTGAACTGGAGTACTAGGAGTCAGCAGGTTTCTTAGCTGCCGGTTAATCGGGCTGGCTTGAAAATGCCTGGGGTTATACTCTGGCAATGAGCGTGTTGGCAGACTCCGACTGGTAAAAATTGGCCGGTAACAAAAATAAGCCTAGTTTGACTCTCAACCGGGGTGCAGGGAGATGCTTGTAAGGGTGCTGCACAATACAAGCACCGTGAAGCGTGAGAGTGCCTAAGTGTGATTCACAAGATCAGCCCGGAGATCTCCAATAGGGATCGAGAGCAGCACAATCCTGCCCTGGTGTGGGCTTTGAGCTCTTTGCAGCAGAGGAATTGCACTAGCATTTTATTTTGTGAAAAAAGTGTGAAAACGAAGAGCTGGTGTTTTCCAAGGGGGGCTAGTAATCTAACCCCCTCCTTGTAGTACCGTGCTCTGCATCTCACCTCTAGCCAACGCTAGATGGTGCCATTCACCGGATTTCCCTCAATGCTTTAATGTGCTGAAGAAGAATTCGTGAGCCAAAGCCCTGAGTTATGCCATGCGGCTGCTAGGGCAGCATCCTGTCCGGAGAAGTGCCAAACGAGCCCGTATAGGCAGCGATTGGGCGTGCGGCTCTTGGATCAGGCCAAGCACCGGACTTTACAAAACGGGGGGGATGGGAGGTAAAATCTGGCACCGCGCTGCTTTGCAGTTGAACTTGGCCAAGGCCCTTGCTTAGAGTAGGAGGCCACGCTGGGGAAGTAATTTGTGGGTAAAAGGTAAAAAAGGTTTGCAAGGCCATTGGCTACAAGCACGGACTTGCAAATAAAACATGCATCAGCTTTATGCCTCCACCGGCCTGGCCCGTGCCATGTGCTGCTTTTAAGTGGACAGAAGCAATTAGAAATCTATGTGGATATATATTTATAACTTTTTTTTCCCCCAGAAGAAAACAGCTCAGAAAGTTTCAGCAAAGGAAACAGTCTCCACTCAGCTGCCGGTGTAGCTGCGCAATAAGCAGCAGCCAGGGATTAGAGCCACTTGCTCAGCGAGTGAAACAAAGCTTTTAGCTTTAAAATAAATACCCGAGCTTGGCGCCTCTCTGCGTTTCATGGCGGCAGCGCCCTATTGCAAACTCCCGTGCTAGGACTGAGTGGGCCGATGCAACCTGAGCCGGTGGATTGTGCAGAAGGAACGATGTGCACAATGTAGACCTGTAGGAGACCTGTGCCTGCCTTGGCTGGGATTGGGGGTAGCATCTCCTCTGTGGTCATCCCCTTTCCTTTATGGGGGCCCCTTCCAAGAATTACAAGTCCTTCCTGGTTGTGGCTGGTGGTGAGGGGGTCAACTCGGGGCTCAGTCAGGGGTTTTATGGAGGTTTCCCCCGGCCGAGCGGCTAAGTTCACCGCCCGTTGCACGCCGGCCGAGCAAACGTGAACCTGCTCCCAGCTCTCCTCCAGAGAAGCCAGATCCTGGAGGGGATCTGCACGGTTATGGTGGTGGATGTAGATGTGGACGTGTGTACAATATCCTGAGCACGTATATGAAGCTCCAGGTCCCTCGACATGCGTCCAAAGAGGAGATGGCATCGTGGCCTTTACCGCGTTGTTCTGCTCATACCTTGATCCCACATTTTCAGGGTCCATTTTGGGGAAGAATAGCTTCCCTTTAGTCAATAACTGAGGACTTCGACTGGAGTTTGTATTAGAAAGCGGTGGAGTTTGTATTAGGCATTTTTCTGCCCCGAGCTGGACCGTCAAGCTGCCTTGCATTGGAGATGTGGACCTCCTCTTGTAGAAAGGGGGAAGTGGCAGGTCCCAGAATTGATTCCTTATGCGGAAGAGGAGCCCCTGCTGCCTACATGTCCTCTATTCCTGGTTAAACTGGGGAGGCAGGCACTTCCAACGATTGCGAGCTTCCTCGTTTCAGGACCTTGGCAGGCAAATGCCTTTTAACTAACAAATACATATTCCAGCGAGGCAAATCCTTGCAGGTAACAGTGATGGGTGCAGTCATCTTGGCTGTGTCTAATGTCCTGGGCTCAATCACCACCTGAGTTGGCCTCGTCCCACTGAACCCAGGGGATTAGCTGCCTGACACTGTCACCTTCTCTTCTTTTTCAAGCCTGAAATGAAAACCCCCTTGCTTGTTCTGGATCCAAAAAAAGAGGGATTTTGTAGGGTACTTGTCTGCAGAAGAATGGCTGGCTGCTCTCTGCATGAGAGGGAAGGAAACTGGTTTCAAGGCCTGGGGCAGGGGTGGACCCAAGGAAGTGCAGTTGCAACAGCGGTTCCCAGGGGGTTGAAATGCACTGCAATGCAAGCAAGAAGGGTTTTTGAACCCAAAAGCTTGCTTAATAATTATTCTCCAACCATTTGGGTTGGTCTAATAAAAGATATCCAATTCACCCAAGGAACCTTGTCTGCCTATGTCCTTAGACCAACACGGCTACAACCTCAACCCCTGCAATGCAAGCGGCACTGGACAGGTTTCCGGCGCGATGTCTTTATTGCAGGCACAAGCCTGCTGCGGGGTGCGGCAATCAAGGCCGCAGGGAGCCGGGGGACTGGTGAGCAAGGTGGTCGAGTCCCCCGCGTGCAATGCACTGCGTCACCCAGGGGCAGTGGGGAGAGGGGCTGGGCACCGTCTCCAGCCTGGGTGTCCAGTGCACCCTTCTTAGCAGCAGCTTGCAGCGGGGCCTGCATACAGGAGGTAGGGTGTGCTGTGCTCCCCAAGGCCAAGGAGACTGGTGCCCTGCAGGACCCAAGCCTGCAGCTCTCTTCCTTCTCCCGGGACAGGAACCCCCCAGCACGTGCCGCAGGTTGGAGGGTGCAGCTCTAAAATGGCAGCGCTCCCGCCGTTACCCATGGGCTGGGTGTATGGCGTGAGGCCACATCAAACCCCGCATCCCACGCTGCCTCCCTCTGGTCCAGGATGCGCGGGTAGGGCCTTGGCTGGCCCCTGCGCTGGGATCAGGCCCCACGTCACCCTGCACGCCTGATCTAGCACTCGGGACCGAGGGCTCCCTGCAGCTCCGGACACTTGGCAGCAAGGAGAGCAATGCCATCGCTCCCCTGCCACCGAATTGTTCAGACCTGCAGGGAGATGAAGTGGTGCCATGGCTCAGACCTGGCCTACAGGCTAAGGGTTGAGCCCCCACATCCTACAAGAAGGACGGAGGGCACATCCCAGCGGTAGGGGACCGCTCTACCATCTGGACAGCTCCCCGGGGCAGACCCATCGATGCTGCCCAGCTGTGGGCAGAGACATGGCATCGACGTGGAGCCCACTGCTCCCAGGCCGTGTCTCTCCTCTGTGCTGCGTGTGCGGAGGGGGACTCGCCGACGACGCCAGATGTCGCTCCTGTGAAGCAGGAGTCTGTGTGTGCCGATTTCTGCTTTACGAAGTGGGAGGGTATCCCCTGCGACAGGGCTCGGCTGAAAAGGAGCCTCGGTCCTAGGAGACGTCCAGCTCCTTCCACGCCCTGCTTGCTGGAAGACGGCTGCTCCTGTTGCTCTCTGCAGCTGAACCCAACTTGCAGCCAACTCTGTCCGGGTTGAGACAAGCCGTGTCCCTCCATACAGCAGAGCCCCTGTACAGCCCCTCGATTTGCAATGCATGGGTAAAGTCACTTGTGCTCAGCGTCACGTGAGAGCCATCTGCTGGCCACCGTGCCTGGCAGCGTCCTCGGCCCAAGGCTCCTGGCTCCCATGCCCAGGTGCCCCCATGCCGTCGGGCGGACTGGGGGTGACTGATGCAAACCCAGAGCAGGGCAGGAGCTCCCAGCTAGCTCCGTAGGACGTGGCTGGCACATGGGGGCTCCTCAATGCCCCGCTTCGCTGCTGGCTTGGGGTCCCCAGCAAGCAGGAGGGCGCAGAAGCTGCCCATTAGGAGCTAGCTGCTGTTTTCAACTTCACAGCCGTGCTCAGCTGGAGGATGAGGGTGGGTTTCCCTCCGCCAGCCTGCGAGGCTAATGCAGCCCTTCCCATTAGCTCTCAACCTGGGCTGCACTGGGGTTGCTACCTTGCCCCTTGCTGGGGCACCATCTCCCTTTGCTATGCTCCGGCTGGGCACAGGTGGGGATGGAGAGTCCCTGTCTCAGGCCCCCAGATCCCTGAGAAGGGGTGCCTAGCAGGTCTAGGCATCAGTCCTGACCCCTCTATATGCACCTGTGGCCTTGGCTGGGATTGAGCTGAGGCTGGGTGCGCCTCTGGCTTGAGGGAAACTGAGGCAAACCATGCTTTGCCTTGGCCATTTTCAGCTTGTCCAGAAGATGGAGCTCCTGCTATGCCTCCTGCGCACCGCTGGGCTGCTCCTACGTGCAATGTGGCCCCTTCTCCCTCCTGCCCCCCTATCCCTCGGGATGGGAGCCGGAGGGAATGGGGCTCGGTGCGTCCACGTCTCCCTTGCAAAAGCTGTAGCTGTCCCCAGCCTGCGGCTCCCTGCTCCGCTTCCCCTTGCTGCCCGGGTCCCGGGGTGGAAGTGGGAAGCAGGCACCGCTGCTGGGTTTGCCCCTGGGAGGCCAGAGGAGCCAGGAGCCGAGGGGGATCAGTGGCCCTGCTCCCCAAGGAGAGCTCCCTCTGCTCGCCCTGGTGGGAGGCAGCGAGGGGAGACCTGGCTCGGGGGGTCCCTGCCTTCCCGCCCCTTCCCCGGGCAAGCCTCGAACCCCGGGGGTGCC